GGGGGAGGTGGAGGAGGGGGAAGGAGGGGCGGAGTAGAGAAGCAGGTTGTTCCAGCACGTGAGACTTGTATTTACTAATGTCCTGTCCTGTTGTGCGTATGCGTGAGTGTACCTAACCTTTGTAACGTCTACTGCCATTGTTAACGATCAAGACAAATTTCTCGCTGCGAAATGAATATAGACTGTCATTGTCATTGTCGAAAGAGAGGTTTTAATAATAATAAAAATAATAATAATAATAATAATAATAATAATAATAATAACAATAATAATAATAATAATAATAATAATATAAAAAATAATCATAATCATAATAATAATAATAATAATCATCATCATCATCATAATGATAATAATAATAATAATAATAATAATAATAATAATAATAATAATAATAACAATAATAATAATAATAGATAATAGATAGCATTTGTGTAGCGCAAATCCTCGCTCAGCAGCAAGCTCTATGCGCTTCCCGATCTATATAAATTCACTGGCGTCTGTGGTATAGGGGTTACTAGTAGGCTCTTCGCTGTCGCACGCGGGAGACTCGAGTTCGATGCCCGAGAAGGGAGACTTTTTATCGAGTATCTCAATCTTTCTGCTGGGATGTCTCTTCAGTTCAGGTTAGCCCTCACAGGCACCGTTTGAACAAGCCTCCTAAATAATTTAAATTGTGTTGAAGAACGGCGGGGGGAGGGGGGTGGCTGTAAATACGCATTTTTTCTTAAGAGGTTTTGGGGGATTGATTTGCATTGTTTTGTTTGGATTTTTTCTTTTCTTTCGTTCTGTGCTTTTTTGTTTTGTCTGGAGTATCTTTATCAAAAAAAGTTCGGTTTTATGATGCTGATCTTATTTATATCAGACAATAACCTACCTTAACCCTACCCCAGCCCCTTACCTCTAACTCCTAACCCAAAACCCCTACCACTACCCCTTCGTCCCTCACCCCTACCCCTACCCTTACACTTACCCATACAAACACCCCTATCCCTACCAATTCTCTAATCCCTAAACCCTAAACCCTAAACCCTAAACCCTAAACCCTAACCCCTTACCCCTAACCCCAAAACCCCTGACCCCTACCCTCTCACCCAAACCCCAAACTCCTAAACCCTAACCCCCTAACCCCTAAACCTTAACCCCATAAACCCTAACACCATCACCCCTAACCCCAAACCCTAAATACTAACCCCCTAACCCCTAAACCCTAACCCTAACCCCTAACCCCTTACCCATAACCCCTAACCCGTAACCCTTAACCCTATAACCCATCACCCCTTACCCCTAAACCCTAATCCCGAACATCTTACCCAGACCCCAAACTCCCAAACTCCTAAACCCTAACCCATAACCCCTAACCCCCTAATCCCTAATCACTAACCCCATAACCTATAACCCCTAGCCCCCTAACCCATAACCCCTAACCCCTCACCCCTGCTCACTTGAAGGGCCGGATGTGCGTCTGGTAGATGTCGTAGACGATGATGGAAGAGATGGCCATGACCTCACCGGAACCGGAAGACATGACCGCCATTATCAGCATCGTCAGCACCATGTAACTTCCGGCCAAGCCCATCTCTGACTGTGCCATGAACACGGTCACCAATCCTGAGAACACACAAACAGACACACACATGAACACGGTCACCAACCCTGAGAACACACAAACAGACACACACATGTCTTCACCAATGGAGGTGTAAGAGATACAATTTTGCCAACAGATTTGACTCGGGACCTAAAAAAATGTGCGGCAGCGTGGAGGAATCAGGCTCTCGTCAATTTTTGGCATGTAGAGTTATTGGTATCATCTTAAAGCTAGTTCACTCGTCTTTATTTGAATGAAAATAATATCCATTTATCTTGAATACAAGTCGAGATATTTGCAAATGAAGGAGGTGGGGGTCACCTGTTTTCAGAGGTAAAATTAGTGAGAAAATGGCCGCCACAGATTAGTTATTTCCCTAGCTTAAGAGTCCGTGGCAACTGAAAATTTACATTTATTGTACCTTTAATCAACGTTTTCAGAAAAATCCATACAGAAATGAGTCCTTTAATGGGCATGAAGGTGTTGAACCAAAAAACAAAAACCTGCAGAAAAATGCAAGTTTCTTCACTTTGATTATTTTGACGAGAGCCTGATTCCACCTCGCTGCCTCACAAATAATGAAACAAATAAAATGAGTCCATATTTTAGTCAAATCTAGTCAAATTAAGTCTCAGTCAAATTGTGCCTTCGAATGTCGAATTTTGCCAAAGTGGTGGTTTTGTCCTCTCTATGAGGGCAAGCGAGGCAGGAGTAGGCCCAGAACAACATACTTAGGGAACCTAAACAAATGGGTAACGGGAAAGATCAGGGAAACGTAGCTTTTCTGAGAGCATCTGAGCAAAGGAATGAATGAAAAATCATGATCGCCGATGTCTGTCGCAGATCTGGCACTGGATGATGATGATGATGATGATGATGATGGGGAAAAAATTGGCTGGCCAAGACTTAATCAAATGAATTCGATTTGCAAAGCGCACTCGGTGTAAGGTCAAAGTGACCAGACACTTGGTTTCCAGTCTCGCAGACAGTGTTTGTCGCTGTTTTTGTGGCTCAGTCTGGCAAAATCCACTCAACCGAAAACAGACCTTAGAAATCTTCGGTTGCAAAGATAATCCTTTAATAAAAGTCTGTAATTCTTTGAATGCTCGTTGGTGGGGGGG